AAGATGAGAAAAAAAAAAAAAAAAAAAAAAAAAAAAAAAGTCTCTAGCCAAAGGACCAGGAAAGGGCAGCCTAGCAGGACAGAAAACTTTTAGACAACTTCTCTACTTCAGCCAAACACCACAGAAAAAGCTGTGCCCCCTCCCCGACCCACATCAGCAAAGGGCGAGTGGGAGCCTAGACTTCTATGCTCATGAGACTAAGGAGGTTCCCCAATGCCATGCCTTTATTGGGGTTGTGTTGGAGAAGGCCAGATAGAGACCCAGGACTTTCATCTTCTCCAGGCCCTAATGAGGCTCCTGCTCTGCAGTATTGGCGGACCACGTGGGGAACTCCCATCTCCACACAGCAGCAAAGAGGAGCAATCCCCTCTAAGGTGCCGACCAAGGACTAGTGGGGAACCTGGCCTTTGATCTCCTCCTTGCAGTTAAGTGGGCTGTGTCCCTCCCCTTATCTTGCCAGAGCAGTGTCAAAAAAAGCCAGCTAAAATAGAAGAGAAGAGCAAACAGCAATAAGATTGAAAACAGAAAACAGCAGAGAAAAATTAATGAAACAAAGAGCTGGTTCTTTGAGAAGATTAAAAAAAGAAAATTGTCAAGTCTGTAGTAAGACTGACAAAAAAGAGAAGAGATGCAAATTGCAATATAGGAGATAAAACAGGATATATCACTATGACTCTGCAGGCATCGAAAGGATAATAAGGGAATACTACAAAAAATTCTACACACATAAACATAAGAACCTAGAGGAAATGGACCAATTTATTGAAAAATATAAAGTATCCCAACTCAGTCAATATGAAATAGATATTTGAATAGCCCTGGAACTATTACAAATTTTTGAACTTATAATTTTAAAATTTCCCCCAAAGAAAGCTCCAGGTCCAGATGGTTTCACTGGCAATTTCTACCAAATGTTTAAAGAATTAACACCAATTCTAAACAATCTCTTCCAGAAAACAGAAGAGAACACTTACCAATTTATTTTATGAAGCTAATATTACCATGATATCAAAAACAGAAACAGTACAAAAAAATAAAACTATACATCAATATCCCTCATGAATATATGTGCAAAAACCTTATAGCTATGGGCTCAACTGCAATCTGTGTTTTGTCTTCCAATACTGATTACTAGGAATCATAATTTAAGATTTTCATGATTTGTTCTAAGGTATATTGTAAATAATTTATTATTAGAAATAGCTAAATGATAATATGGAAAAATAGAAAAATAGTAAATGATTTACATAAAATATAAACTCAAAGTTATCATTATAATAATGGCACACAGACTCCTTGCATTCAGATATCTTTCTTTGGGGAGCAGGGTTAGGGAGAAGAGGAAGAGTTAGGGCTCCTGCTTGAGTCTACAGAAGTTCCAGCAGGTGAATGTCATTCCTCAGGCATGGCCCCAAAATAAATCTGAGAATCACACTACCTCAGAGAATTATTGGTATTAACACTACTATTTTTTTTCAGATATATTGAAATAAAGAACAAAATAAAATGTAATAGTAAAATCAAAATTCTTGGTGGCCAATTCTTAGCATGGGCTCCTTGAATCCCAAGACCAGATATTCTACTCTGCTGTATATCATCTGCCAGTTTGAGAACTCTGGATATCAAATTTGATGATAAAGGGTTTTCTCCCCAAGTTTTGTGGGGTTTTGAAATTTCAATACTTCGGTTTATCCTTTTAAATTGTAATATTCAGACCAATCATTACCACTTTCTTCCATAAGACCCTGAGAAAGCCATTCACATTTCTAACACCCAGAAAGATATTTTTTAAAAAGAAAGTCACAGACATAGTCATAGTAACCCTAGGCTGAGTCTTGAGACTTGGATAGAAACATGTATACAAACCATAATATTACTTGTGCTGTTCCCTTTGAAGATCTGCCAGTTGGTTTGGTCAGAACTGTAAGCCACATAGTACTCGGTGGTATAGCAAGATTTCAGGTAGTGTTTGGCACCTTGGGTCTGGATCCCTGTGACCACAACCTCTTTTTGCATGTCCACCTGCAATATAGCAAAACCAGTAAACAGAATTGTCCTTGTCAATGAGTAAACCATGGCCTTAATTCATTTTACAATCAGCTTTCTTTAGAACTAAAGAGCCAGCATCTAAGGTCTTAGCAAACTCATAAAATGACCAGATGCAATCTATATTTGAACATAGAGTACGTGGATTTGAATTCTAGCTCAACCACTAACTAGCTGTGTGTTACTTTGGGAAGTCAGCTAACACCTCTGGGCCTTAGTTTTTCATTTATAAAATGGGATATTACCAGAACGAACCTCAGAGGATTGATTTTGCAGATGTGAAGTGCTTAGAATGGTGCCTGGCATGTAGTAATCACTATTTCCCCTAACAACAATGCCAGAAGAACAAGAAAAAAATTCTAAAACACTGTCATTTTTATAATTACATTAGCAGTAAATATTATCAGATTAATGATATACCTGGATCCAAGGTTTAGAGGCAAATTCAATTGCATGCTTTTCTATGCTCCAAGCATTATATGACCCACCGTTGTTTAATCTTGCTAATTTGGGTTCCCAATAACCTAAATTCAAAGGAGGAAGGAAAAAATATTCGAATTTTTAAAAAACCAGGCAATTAGCAATTTCTGAAGTGAGTCTAGTCCAGTGGAAAGCCAGATCCTTGTTATTGTATTGAAGTTAGGAAATCAGGCAGTTGACATGGGCCTCAGCTACTAAGCCAGTCCTTAATGATGAAGTCTTGTCTCAGGTCTGTGCTTGGTGAGCTGTTAACCACACACAATCCCTCTTGTGCACACAGATTATGTTTATCTTTTCTCAGTTATGTTGTTGTGGCTGCTGCTGAATGCGCCAGCCTAACAGGAAGACAAGAAAGGGGTGTCCTCTTGATCATGACCCCTTGATCTTAGGAAGGGCTTTGAAGTAGAGTGAGAAAGCTTAGGAACTCTTCCTAAGTATGAGTTTCTGACACATAGTGGGTGATCAGCAAAGTTTCTTGAGTAGGGAAAAGGCCATATGAACGGGAACTATAATGCCTGGGATAAGACCCTGTGAATCTTGCTGGAATACTCTGTGTGTTATTAAACCTAGAAAAAATGAATGGGGAGAGTTTTGGGAATGGGTACATGATCATAAAACTAAGCTATCAACTTCTTGTCAAATCCCTGGAGAGACACTGGATTGACTATGGACCTCTAGCTCTTGGTTTTCCCTGGAAGAGACTCTAGGAACATTATACACCATAGGGTGTGGCAGTGATAAGAGTGTACTACAGGCTTTTAGCTTCTTTCTCTATGAGATGAGCACCTTGAATGGAGCTGCTTCACTATGTTGTGGTAGAAAAAAGTCTGGAGAGGAAAAGTGACCCAGTGTGGCAGTGATAAGAGTGTACTACAGGCTTTTAGCTTCTTTCTCTATGAGATGAGCACCTCGAATGGAGCTGCTTCACTATGTTGTGGTAGAAAAAAGTCTGGAGAGGAAAAGTGACCCGTAGGTAGGATTGTCATGTATGGTTTCACTGGCTGTCTACTGCACAATAACAGGAGGTGCCACTCACAGGCTATGATGCTGCTACTTACCCAGATACTCAGAAGCCTTGATCTGTGAATCAGTTATGATACCAGTGCTTAGTCCCATTGGCATTTTACATTCTATGTAAAACAGAAAAATGAATAATTTTTGCTTAGAAATTACGTAGTAAATTTAAACACATAGTAAATAACAAAGTAAAAGCTCCATGGCTAGAGATCATATCTCTGATGGGTCAGTAATTAGATATTTTCACTTACGTCATGTGGTACTGACTTAAATATGTCTGATTATAAAATGTTAAACACACTACCAGTACTAGTGCTTTAAAAGAAATAGTGACACCCTAGAGGAGAGCAACTGAAATCCTAAAATGCAATTGTTCTCCATCCACTTGTGTCTTAAAATAAGCCATTTTGCATTAAGTAGTATCTCTCATAGGACTATGTTCTCAAAAGGAGACCTAAAAATTGAGTAGCTGTGGGCAGCCCCCCACCTGATGGAAGGCAGGAGAGCACCCAGAGATCTTACCAGGAGCCATGGCAGCCCTCCCCCCAATAGAAGGTAGGAGCATGCCTGGGTACATCACCAGGAGCTATGGGCAGCCCCCTCCTGACAAAAGGCAGGAGCATGCCTGGAGACTGCAGCCCTTGCCACTGCCACAAACATCACTTCTGCATGGGTGGTTCACCAAAGCCACTGCCACAGCCACTGATGCAGCAAGGGTGATTTACTACCACAGCAGCATCTACAGCCACCATTCAGGCAGCCTGCTGCCCACTCGACTGCATTGACACAAGGAGAGTCACCAGTGGAGTCCAGAAAAAGAGAAGGCAATCTCTCTGCTCAAATCCTACTCCAAAGTAATAGAAGAAGCAACTGATCTAGCAGATGATCAGACATCAACATAGATAATAGAAATACAATAACAACAACAAAAAAGAAAATGTGACATCACCAAAGGAATACAGTAATTCTCAAGTACCAGATCCCACCAAGCAGGAAACACTTGAAATGTCAGAAAAGGAATTCTGAGCAACAATTTTAAAGAAACTCAATGGGACAGGAGAATATTCAGCTAAACACAATGAAATGAGAAAAAACGTTCAGGACATGAAGGAGGAAATTTACAAAGAGATTAATACTTTGAAAAAGAGTATAGCAGAACAACAGGAACTGAGGGATTCATTCAATGAAATGAAAAATAACTGAGAGTTTAAGCAGCAGGTTAGAACAAGCAGATGAAAATATTTCTGATCATGAAGATCATCTTTTTGAAATAACCCAGGTGGACAAGAAAAGGAAAAAATAATTTAAAAAATGAAAAAAATCTAAGAGAGCTAGCAGACAACCTTAAGTGCACAAATATTTGAATCATGGGTTGTTCCAGAAAGGGAGGAGAAAGGTAAAGGCATTGAAAACCAATTCAATTAAGTAATAATAAAAACTTCCCCAATATAGGGAGAGACATTGACCTTCGGATCCAGGAGACACAAAGATCCCCAAACGGATTAAATCCAAAAAGATCCTCTCTGAGACACATTGTATCCAAATTGGCAAAGCTCAAAAACAAAGACAGAATCTTAAAAACAACAACAAAAAAGTTCAAGTCACCTATAAGGGAGCCCCCATCAGACTAACAGCAGACTTCTCAACAGAAACTCTACAGACAAGAAGAAAATATGATGATATATTCAAAATACTAAAAGAAAAATCTGCCAGACAGTAATATTATACCCAGGAAGGCTATCCTTCAGGAAGGAGGGAGAAATAGTGTTTTTCCCAGATAAACAAAAACTGCAGAAGTTCACCACCACACAACCAGTCCTTAAAGAAATCCTCAAGGGAATCTGCATCTGGAATCCAAAAAAAATGATAATCACTACCATGAATACACAAGAAAGAACAACACCCACTGGTAGAACAAAAATGCAAACGAGAAAGAGAAAGAAACTAAATCTTACCACTTCAGAAAGCCAACAAACATCAAAGACAAACAATAAAAGGGGAAGAAAGAACAAAAGATATTTAAAACATCCAAACAAGAATAGATAAAATGCCAGGAGCAAGACAATACCTTTCAATAACAATCCTAAATGTAAATAGATTAAACTCCCCATTCAAAAGATACAGACAGCTGATTGCATCAAAAAGCTAGACCCAACTATATGCTACCTTCAAGAGACTCACATCACCTGTAAAGATACACACAGATTAATAGAGTAGGGACCGAAAAAGATATACCATGAAAATGGAAACTAAAAATGAGCAGGAGTAGCTATTCTTATATTGGATAAAATAGACTTTAAACCAAAAACCATAAAAAGAGACAAAGAAGGTCACTGTATATTGATAAAGGGATCTATCCAGCAGGAAGTCATAGCAATCATAAATACATATGCACCCAACACTGGGGCGCCCAGATGTTTAAAATGAACACTATTAGAACTAAAGAAAAATATAGACCCCAGTAAAATAATTGTTGGGAACCTGGACACCCCTCTCTCAGCATTGGACAGATCATCTAGGTAATAAATTGATAGAGAAATATAGGATTTAAACACTCTTTAGACCAATTGGACTTCATTGGTATTTACAGAACATTTCATCCAACAACTATGGAATATTCCTTCTTCTCTATAGTACATGCAACATTCTCCAGGATAGACCACATGTCAGGTCACAAATCAAGTTTCAACAAATTTTTAAAAATTAAAATAATTTCAAGTATCTTTTCAGACCAAAACAGATTGAAACTGGAAATCAATAACAAGCAAAACTCAGGAAACTATACAAACACATGGAAATCAAACAACATGCTCTTGAACAACTTAAAGGGCCAAGAAGAAATTAAAGAGGAAATCAAAAATTTCTCAAAACTAGTGAAAATAAAGATGCATCATACCAAAACCTGTGGGAAACTGCAAAAGCAGTACTAAGGAGCAAATTTATTGTAATAAATACTTACATCAAAAGAATAGAAAGATTTCAAATAAACAACCTAATGCAACACCTCAAAGAACCAGAGACACAAAAACAATCCAATCCCAAAATTAGTAGATGTAAAGAAATAAGATTAGAGCAGAATGAAATGAAATGGAGACCACAAAATGATACAAAAGATCAATTAAATAAAAAGTTGGCTTTTTTGAGAAGATAAACAAAATAGACAAACCATTAGTTAGCCTAACTAAAAAAAAGAGAGAAGACCCAAATAACAAAATCAGAAAAAAAGGAGACATTACAACCAATACCACAGAAATACAAAGAATCCTTAGAGATTATTATGAACAACCATTACACCAACAAATTCAAAAACCTGGAGCAAATGGATAGATTTCTGGACACATATAAACTGCCAAGACTGAACCAAGAAGAAATAGAAAACCTGAACAGACTAATAGCAAGCAACGAGACTGAAGCAGTAATCTGAAGTCTTCCAACAAAGAGAAGCCCAGGACTAGATGGCTTTACTCCTGAATTCTACCCAACCTTTAAAGAGGAGTTAATACCATTTTTTTCAAACTATTTCAAAAAATTGAAAAAGAAGCCATTCTCCCAAACTCATTTTATGAGGCCATCATCATCCTGATAGCAAAAACAGACAGAAAAACAACAAAAAGGGAAAACTACAGGACAAAATATCTGATGAACATAGATGCAAAAATCCTCAGCAAAATACTAGCAATCAGAATATAGCAACACATAAAAAAATTATACACCATAATCAAGTAGGATTCATCCCAGCGATGTAAGTATGGTTCAACATAAGTCAATAAATGTGATATAACATTTCAACAAAACTAAGGAGAAAAACCATGTGATTATCTCAAAAGATGTAAAATTCAACATCACTTCATAGAAGACACTCAGCAAATTAGGTATAGAAGGAAACTCCATATACAACAAACCCATTGCCAATATCATTCTGAATGGGGATAAGCTGAAAGCTTTTTCCTTAAAAACAGGAACAAGACACTCTCACCACTCCTAGAAAACATAGTATTGGAAGTACTAGCCAGAGAAAGAAATAAAAGGCAACCACACTGGAAAAGATGAAGTCAAATTGTCCCTGTTTGCAGATCACATGATCCTGTATATAAAAAATCTTAAAAGACTCTACACAAAAACTCTTAGAGCTAATAAACAATTTCAGTAAAGTTGCAAGATACATAATCAACACACAAAAGTCAGTAGCTTTTTTATACCCTAATAACTAACTAGCAGAGAAAGAAACCAAGAAAGCAAGCCCATTTACAATAGTCACCCCCCAAAATTAAATACCTAGGATTCAATTTAATGAAGATGAAAGATCGCTACAATGAGAACTACAACTCACTGCTGAAAGAAATTAAAGAGGACAGAAAAAGATGGAAAAAGAATTCATGTTCCTGGATTGGAAGAAGTGTGAAAATGTCCATACTACCCAAAGCGAGCTACAGATTCAATGCAATGCCCTTCAAAATACTAATGATATTCTTCACAGAAATAGAAAAAACAATCCTAACATTCATATGGAACAACAAAATATCCTGAATAGCCAAAGCAATTCTTTTGAGAAAAAATAAATAAAAAATAAAGGCAGAGGTATAACATTACCTGACTTCAAATTATACTACAAAGGTATAGTAACCAAAACAACATGGTACTGGCATAAAAACAGATACTCAGACCAATGGACCAGAATAGAGAAACCAGAAATCAACCCACATACTGATCTTTGACAAAGGCAACAAGAATATACATTGTGGTAAATAATGCCTCTTCAATAAATGGTGCTGGGAAAACTGGACATCCATATGTAGAAGAATGAAACTATACCCATACTTCTCATATACTAAAATCAACTTAAAATGGATTAAATGCTTAAATATAAGACCTGAAATTATAAAAATCCTAGAAGAAAACATAGGGGAACACTTCAGGAAGTAGGACTGGGCAAATCTTTATGAATAAGACTCCAAAAGCACAAGCAACAAAAGAAAAAAAAATAAACAAATGGGATTATATCAAACTAAAAAGCTTCTGCACAGCAAAAGAAACAATTAAAAGAGTGAAAAGACACCTAGTGAGTGAAAGAAAATATTTGTAAACCATGCATCTGACAAGGGATTAATATCCAGAATACACAAGGAACTCAAACCATTTAACAGTAAAAAAACAAGTAGCCCAATTAAAAAACCAAAAGAAACAATTAAAAGAGTGAAAAGACACCTAGTGAGTGAAAGAAAATATTTGTAAACCGTGCATCTGACAAGGGATTAATATCCAGAATACACAAGGAACTCAAACCATTTAACAGTAAAAAAACAAGTAGCCCAATTAAAAAACGGGCAAAGGAGCTGAATAGGCATTTGTTAAAGGAAGCTATACAAATGGCCAACAGACATGTGAAGAAATGCTCAACATCACGCAGCATCAGGGATATGCAAGTCAAAACCACACTGAAATATCAGCTCACCCCCGTTAGACTGGCTATTATCAAAAAGACAGAGATTAACAAATGCTGGCAAAGAGGCAGAGAAAGAGGAACACTCCTACACTGTTGGTGGAACTGTAAATTAGTGCAGCCATTATGGAAAACAGTATGGAGGTTCCTCAAACAACTACAGATAGAACTGCCATACGATCTAGCAATTCCTCTACTGGATATATACCCAAAGGAATGGAAATCATCATGTTGAAGGGATACCTGCACTCCCATGTTTATTGCAGCTGTATTTACAATAGCCAAGAGTTGAAACCAACCTAAGTGTCCATCAATGGACAAATGGATAAGGAAAAAGGTGTTTATATACACAATAGAATACTACTCAACCATAAAAAAGAATGAAATACTGCCACTTGCAGCAACATGGATGAACTTAGAGAAAATTTTGTTAAATGAAATAAGCCAGGCATGGAAAGAGAAATATCACATGTCCTAACTCATAAGTAAGTCTAAGAAAATAAACAAATAAATTAAAAAAGAAAGATACAACAATCGTGATAATTTGTTGAACTTTTAAAAAGGAAGAAAAGAACTGAGGCCACAAGAGGGAAAGGGGGACAAGGGGTCTAGTGAGAAATAAAGCAACATGAAATATAATTACATTGTATGATGTTGAGCATACTAATCATCCTGATTTGAGCACCATATGTTGCACACAGGTATTGATATTCAATGCTGTATTCCACAGATATGTACAATCCATTATGTTTCAATCAATGACTATCTTAGTCATTGTCAAATTCCTGTTACCCTTTCCCTCTTGTACCCTAGGAATCTGGAGAATTTCTTACATGAACTTTCCCATGGATCACAAGAAACGAAGGAGGGTGCTTTACATTGGTTCCCCAGTTGAAAGGAATGTCTGTGACCTTAACCATTTGGTTTCATTTTCCTAAATGATCAGACCATGGGCCAGAATAAAAACAACTATGGCTACAAATTATGACTTTGTCATGTCAGAGTTCTCAGAGTTGAATATTTTATATTTTAAATCTAAAAAGTTGGTGACATTCTAGTAACAGGCACTCTTCTGCTAACAAATATCATGTGGCTCTTGGGTGATACCTTTGTCTATGATGAGAAATGGTGTTTGCATCCCTGCTCTCTGGTTTTCTCCAACTTCTGTATCTAGAAGCCACCAGCCAGGTTTGGATGCCTTCATTTCAAGAGTTTTAAATGAACCTAAAATAGAGAGTTAAGAAAAACATTGCATAATCAAAGATTATCAAATTAATATTACGGTTGATAGCTCTCAAAGAATCCTAAAATTCCTGCATTATGAGATGCTTTAGAATAGAATTAAAGAGTTGCATGTTTCTCTTTAGGCACGACTAGAGGTATAACAGATACAACAACAATACCACACACATATACATGCACAGATTACTAAAAATAAATCACTCCAAGATTTACAAAAATCTTCACTTTTCATTCAGAAGAAACTTCCACGTATGTAAATATAGTGTTACAAGTTAACCCAAACATAATACAGCCTCACGGTTCTAAGTATCAAAGCAACCTCGAATGACTCAAATATTTGGGCCTCAAAAAAAATTGTTTCCTTTCTCTCTTCATTTTGCTTTTTTTTCTTTCTTTATATAGGAAAATTGAAAAAAAACATATTTCTCCCATGTTTTAAAATTTTTTGAAAAGCCTACATATTTGGATAGAGATTTACATAGATTGTTTCAGGAAATCACTGAGAGTTCTAAAACTTCTATTCATTCTGGTATTTTAAATTACCCCCTGCCAGAGCCAGCCTGTGACTCACTTGGGAGAGTGCGGTGCTGATAACACCAAGGCCACAGGTTCGGATCCCTATATAGGGATGGCCGGTTAGCTCACTTGGGAGAGTGTGGTGCTGACAACACCAAGTCAAGGGTTAAGATCCCCTTACCAGTGATTTTTTTTTTTTTAAATTACCCGCTGCCAGTTAATACTTTAATTTTATTGAGTATAATTTGTGATGGTTTCCCAGAATGTGGGTGAAAATTAATAGCTAATGGTCATCCTCCTCAAACACACTGAAAAAGATCTCCAGTTTTCCTCTCTCCAATGCAGATATTCAGGTTTGGAGGGTGAGATGGGCTAGCCAATCCCAGCTTCCCAGTCCATCCTGTGGGCTTATGGAAAGGACAACTGATCTGCTAATACTTGCTGAAAAGATAAGGAGTGAGTCTGACCTTATCCCTTCTATTTCTGATCTTAATAGAGTAGAACTTTCTAGACTTATTAGTGAGTCACCAGTATGTGAGAAACAAAGAACTCTCTTCTCCACTACTCTTAACCACACCAGGCTCATTTGGATTTCTGTGCCTACGTCTGAGTCATAAAACTACTTCCCCACCCAAAGTCCTGTGAAGGGACTGCCTCCACTAGTTCCTCAGACAGCATCTGTGGAAGGGAGGCTGCTTGTTAAAAATGCAGACTTCTCGGGCCGGCCTGGTGGTGCACTGAATAAGTGCGCCGCTTGGGAAGCGCAGCGGCGCTCCCGCCCGAGGGTTCGGATCCCACATACAGACCAGTTCCCGCTCACTGGCTGAGCGAGGTGCGGGAGCAACACCAAGGGTTGCAATCCTGTTGCCGGTCCCCGGTCCGGTACGGGGGCAACACTGAGGGTTGCGATCCGTTGCCGGACACGGAAAAAGACAAAAGACAAAAAAAAAAAGAAAATGTCTGTCACATGGGCCGACCCCGTGGCTCACTCGGCTGAGTGTGGCGCTGGGAGCGCAGTGGCACTGGTGTTAAGGTCAGTAGGGGTTGGGGCGTAGGGATGCCCCACCCCCTACTGACCTTAACACTGGGAGCGCCAAGGCTGTGGGTTCCGTAATAACTTCGTATAGCATACATTATACGAAGTTATACGAGGTTAGCTCACTTGGGAGAGTGTGGTGCTGACAACACCAAGTCAAGGGTTAAGATCCCCTTACCAGTGATTTTTTTTTTTTTTAAATTACCCGCTGCCAGTTAATACTTTAATTTTATTGAGTATAATTTGTGATGGTTTCCCAGAATGTGGGTGAAAATTAATAGCTAATGGTCATCCTCCTCAAACACACTGAAAAAGATCTCCAGTTTTCCTCTCTCCAATGCAGATATTCAGGTTTGGAGGGTGAGATGGGCTAGCCAATCCCAGCTTCCCAGTCCATCCTGTGGGCTTATGGAAAGGACAACTGATCTGCTAATACTTGCTGAAAAGATAAGGAGTGAGTCTGACCTTATCCCTTCTATTTCTGATCTTAATAGAGTAGAACTTTCTAGACTTATTAGTGAGTCACCAGTATGTGAGAAACAAAGAACTCTCTTCTCCACTACTCTTAACCACACCAGGCTCATTTGGATTTCTGTGCCTACGTCTGAGTCATAAAACTACTTCCCCACCCAAAGTCCTGTGAAGGGACTGCCTCCACTAGTTCCTCAGACAGCATCTGTGGAAGGGAGGCTGCTTGTTAAAAATGCAGACTTCTCGGGCCGGCCTGGTGGTGCACTGAATAAGTGCGCCGCTTGGGAAGCGCAGCGGCGCTCCCGCCCGAGGGTTCGGATCCCACATACAGACCAGTTCCCGCTCACTGGCTGAGCGAGGTGCGGGAGCAACACCAAGGGTTGCAATCCTGTTGCCGGTCCCCGGTCCGGTACGGGGGCAACACTGAGGGTTGCGATCCGTTGCCGGACACGGAAAAAGACAAAAAGACAAAAAAAAAAAAATGCAGACTTCTGGGCCGGCCTGGTGGCGCACTCGGTAGAGTGCGACGCTTGGGAGCGTGGTGGTGCTCCCGCCGAGGGTTCGGATCCCATATAGAGACCGGTCTGCTCACTGGTTGAGGGCGGTGCGGGCACAACACCGAGGGTTGCGATCCCGTTACCGGTCACGAAAAAAGACAAAAAGGAAAAAAAAAAAAAGCAGACTTCTGAGAATTCTGCCCAAGATCTACCTTATCAAAGTCTCTGAGAGCAAAATCTGTGCTTTAGCATCTGCATTTTAACCAGCTTCCTAGGTTTTTATTACACCCTCTGAAGTTTGAGAATCAGTGACATCTGGCACTTACACACACGCTGCACAAACAGATACACCTACAAACAACTCATTGGCACATAAAAATCCTTTTGGATGACTGTAGCTTGTTTAAATCTACATTTATTACTATTTTGCACATGAAAAGCCCTAGATAAATTTGTTATTCTTTAGTTTTATAATCATTAAAAAATGCTTTTTTCTCTCTAAACGGCCTCATGAGTCAGTTCAGGAATATGATTCCTGGAGTTGCTTGTCCAAAGATATCAGGGTGGTAGAGCCAAGGGTAGAATTCAAGAATCCTTTAGTTTTATAATCATTAAAAAATGCTTTTTTCTCTCTAAACGGCCTCATGAGTCAGTTCAAGATTATGATTCCTGGAGTTGCTTGTCCAAAGATATCAGGGTGGTAGAGCCAAGGGTAGAATTCAAGAATCCGGAAGCCCTAGTAAGTTTCTAATCTCCCTCTTGACAGAGAAAGCTTTAACTGCCTGAGCCTTGTAGGATTCATTTTGTCATCTGCTTGAGACCTGATTCGTGTGACACACAGTGGCTTGGAAGAACGTGCATAAGACATGGCATCTCTGTAGAACCAAGTGGGGTTGTGCATTTAGCCTGTGTGGTACTGCAAACAGTTCTCACTTGAGTTGACCTTTTTGTATTGTATGTACAGTTTTCGTATGTGGCTTTGCCCAGGCTTTATACCAGAACTCTGTGCTCTGACCCCTTAGGAAGTGGATACACAAGGAAGGAATGAGGGGCAGTTACAGATGCTAAGATTGCCATCTCCCACTACTTCTTAGCAGGGACCTCTTTCCACCACCCCAACTTTACCAGGTAGAAGGGGCCAGACCCCTAACTGGTGCTGTTGAGTGCCATTTTCCAGCAAGGTCTGGCCATGAAAGTGAACCACATGAATATCTTGAGGGCCGCCCACATTTAGCAGATGTAACCTCACCCACTCTTGCTCGTACATTCTCAGGCCAGGCAAGTTGTAGATCATCCCGTTAATGGCTGAAAGGACAGAGAGTTGCAATCAATTAAAAACCTGTATATAGAAGGAAGAAGGCTAGTAAGGAAATATGGGGCAGCCTACTCGCCATCATCTCCCTCATTACTCTGCATCCCCAGGCCCACCCAGGCATAGGAAGGGCCCTTCTCTATGTCATAATGTCAGTGAGAGGCTGAAACAGAACCACTGGTCCTTCTGAGGCCACTCACAGCAGCCTACAGCAGAAGTGTGATAGAGCTCCCTTTCCAAGCAGCTTATTGCTCTTTTTACCAGATTTTACACTTCTGTTCTGTGCTTTACTCTTTTATCCTTCACATTAATAGTCTGAACTTTCCTTTGCTACAAAAAGATAAAGACTAATATGGGCAGACAGAGCAAACTCCAGGGCTTAGAGTAAATAAGAGGGCGTGTAGCATATTGCTCAAAGGCCTCTAAATTCAGAAGTAGTTCCCAGCAAAATTAGGGAGTCAGAGTTCATCTTCGGTATAGCCACCAACCATAGCAATTCATGTTTATTCTCTCACTGGTATGATAGCTCCTCTGCCCGCTTCCCAGCTTAGGTGTCTAGGATTCTCAGCGTTATCCACTCTCCCCTTAGTGAAATATTTGGGTTTTTAGAAAAAGGACCTGGTTAACATGATCACCTTAAAAATGTAACACAAAATTTTAATGATAAAGCTTAGGCTACCAAGCACTTAACTGAAACTGAAGTAATGGAAGTTTTTCTTCTCTTTTCCTTTTTTTTTTTTTTTTAAGGTAAAGGAACTGTTGTAGAGTTTCAGAAACCAGGCTAGTGAATTTTTGGAAGGAGAGAAGTTGAGATAATTTTGGCACTCTTAAAATTATATCAGGTATGGGAACATCTATCTACATACTCCTAACACCCGCTTTTACCCCCTTATCTTAGTTTCTGTTTAAGAAATAGATTTCATAAGAGTGAAAGTCATCTCAAGTAATTATTAGGTCTGCATTGCAAAACCATTGCATCAGGGTATGTAAGTGAAGATTCTCAACATAATTGGTGCTCAATTAATATTTGATAAATTGAGATGAATCTGAGAATTCTTTCATTTATTCACTAGTTCAATATATATATTTTTTGAGCACACTTACTGCAAGGGCTGGGCAGGCACTCAGCTAGGAGCTGGGGATTCAGGAAGTCTGCTTATCAAATACCCTGATAAGTACTTCATCATGGGGATTACCAAATTATAGACACTTAGTCTGTAATACATTTAGGACTAAAACTACACTGGATGCGTTTTACCCTTTCTTTGAGGAATCAGGAGGCAGTGCCTCAAGGACACTCAGCAAGTAAAGGTCATAGCCAAGAGACAAGCCTGCCTGATTCTGCAGCCTGTGCTTTCCTACTAGGTTGAGAGGTTTTCAAAAGGATGTGCTCCTGAGACCAAGCACACTGGGCTAAGAGGCCCAGAGATGGTAGTGGAGAAGAGAAGAAAGTTCTGCTTGCAGGCTATTGATCAGCTGTCTCTCAATAAACTCTACTCTAGACTGCTTAATAGAATCGAATAGAACATTTTCAATATTTGAATTTTTTAATCTTTTATGATAAGCACAGTCCATCCTTAGCGGATGGGGTTTTGGAGTAGATCACAAATATTTTTCTTTGCCTTCCTCTACCTCAAAGTATTTTTACAGGTGAGAACATTAAATGTCTCCTAGAAGTAAAGTATTTTTATAGGTTAGATCATTAAACTTCTTCTACAAGGTAAAAAAAAAAGAAAAAAAAAAAAAAAACAGGTGAAAGAAGGATAGCCTGAGCGTGTGAATGAATAGGGAAAGGTAAATAGACCTATTTAGTCTTGACGGCTGGCTAGAGGTGCTGGGGGTGGAGGTGGCACTGAATCAGATATTGCATATAATAATATGACGTTTTTGTTTTCTTAAGCAATAGCAACTTTCTCCTTCCCTGTTACACTGAGTGACTGACTCAATACCCAAAGCACAGGTCTTCAATGATCAGAAATCTCAGAATAATCACCTTCATTCGTCAGACTCTGAAAACAGGGCATTTTCAATATTTGAATTTTTTAATCTTTTATGATAAGCACAGTCCATCCTTAGTGGAGGGGGTTTTGGAGTAGATCACAAATATTTTTCTTTGCCTTCCTCTACCTCAAAGTATTTTTACAGGTGAGATCATTAAATGTCTCCTAGAAGTAAAGTATTTTTATAGGTTAGATCATTAAACTTCTTCTACAAGGTAAAAAAGAAAAGAAAAAAAAAAAAAACAGGTGAAAGAAGGATAGCCTGAGTGTGTGAATGAATAGGAAAAGGAAAATAGACCTATTTAGTCTTGACGGCTGGCTAGAGGTGCTGGGGGTGGAGGTGGCACTGAATCAGATATTGCATATAATAATATGACGTTTTTGTTTTCTTAAGCAATAGCAACTTTCTCCTTCCCTGTTACACTGAGTGACTGACTCAATACCCAAAGCACAGGTCTTCAATGATCAGAAATCTCAGAATAATCACCTTCATTTGTCAGACTCTGAAAACAGGGCTTACTAGTCTTCATTTTTTCTTATTTCAATCCAAGTCATTCTTTTTGCTGTCCACCATCCTAAATTCTGCCTTTCTCTAAAACTGTTTGTAATTCAGTTGCCAATTTGCAGGCCAAATTCATAAGTGAATTTCCGAGTAGGCATATTTCTTCCAGTGTGACCCCTCAAGGGCTCCCTTGTCACTATTCTCTCATTACATGGCTACCTTGTTTTTCTTTTCTTTTTAAATCTCATTTTGTTCTCATATGCTGTTGATGCCACCTGGTAGCTGCTGAGAGCTAGAACTGTTGGAATCATTCTTATTTTAGGAAAGATACATTGGTAATATTTTTTCTACATAAACGCTCCTTTAGGGATCAAGAAACAGGTTTATTAACTTTTTAAATTGCAGAATAATGTTAATTCCTTTTCAATATATGTTACCAACTGAAGCACACTGGCTTGTGTGCTTTTCTACTCTCCTTCACCTGCAGTGTCACCTGCCAGATTACATCAGTCCTCTGCGATGTTAAGGAGCTGGTTTTAGTTGTAACTTCTGATTCCTTAGGAGCATCTCCTGTCTAATCTTGTGAAGATCGAAGGGCAGAAATCATTGTGACCCAGTGCAATTTAATTCAGAGATTAGATCAAAGTCAGAGGAAAATACCATGAAACTCATGGGTCTTTTTAACTTCTGAGGATGCATGTCTCCAAGACCTTCTGGCCTTCTTTTCATAGTACCAGCTCTTCTCTTCATCAAAGACCATAAAAAGTAAGACAAATTCTCTCATGTCCACAGGCATGTTGCTCTCCCTGTGAAGTGTTCCTTTTTGGCAGATCAGAAGAGGACCTATCAAGCCCGAGTGGATATCTTTTTCCTGGAAGACAGTAAGGGCAAATTGCATGTATTCTCCCCTTCCCAGAATTTTCTTTGCTCTTCTGACAATCGCTAATCATACAGAAAAGGAAACTTTCTTAGAGGCTCTGGATTTGAAAATTGTAAATGAATAGTGTACTAAGCCTAGATATTTATGATCTAATTCTGTTGCATTCATATTCCCTTCCTCTGATTAATCCTTTGTCCCAGTATTGATGATGACAATAATAGCATTGACAATATAATGGGTACTATTTATCAAGCATCTACTACTGTATTAAATACTTTGCTTATAGTATCTCATTTAATCTTGACAGTTATTATATATGGTAAATATAAATTCATTCATTGAACAAATATTTACCAAGTGCCTCCTGTATGCTACACATTATGCCAGTTGCTGAGTACTATTTTCTTATTTTTAACTTGAAACCTAAGTCAGAGAGAGGTCAAGTAATTTTCTTAAGGTTACAAAGTAAGTGACAGTATAGGAATTTAAATCTGGTCTCTTTCCACTGTGCCTAAATGAAGGAGTCTTTATTTTATTTTATTTTATTTTGTCTTTTTCCATGTTTAGCAATGGATCGCAACCCTAAGTGTCGCACCCGTACCGGACCGGGACCGGCAACGGGATCGCAACCCTCGGTGTTGCTCCCGTGCCTCGCTCAGCCAGTGAGCAGGAACCGGTCTGCGTGGGGGATCCGAACCCTCGGCGGGAGCGCCGCCGCGCTTCCCAAGTGGCGCACTATCGCAGTGCGCCACCGGGCCAGCCCCAAGGAGTCTTTTTTTTTAATTGACAGATAAAACTGTATGTATTTATCATGTACAGCATATTGTTTTGAAGTATCTATACATGTATAATGATAAATTGAGGAGATTTGACTTCACAGTTTTTTCATAAAGAGAGCTAATACTTGTTCAAGAAAATTGCAAATAAACATCTTCCTCTGCAAACACTGGCACTATAACTTGGGCCAACCATTTAAGTAATCCTCCTTCCTCTCCACTGAATGTTTCTCTGTCATCTGAAGAATTGCTTGGAGAGTCCCTGGTTATGGTACCTGTAAACTGTGGATCACGACCCTTACACATTCCTCATGAAAAGCAAGACAGACATTTAACAAGAAATAACCCCAACCCTTCCATTTGGTGGACTCAAGTTATAAGGTTAGGAAATGACGAAAACTTTCAATAGAAGTACCTACCGGGTTCACCGCTGAGTAGTAGGCCCAAGCCCGACAGGCAGATCCAGGGTTTTCTGGACCTGATCGCCCAGTGGCATACCACACATACGTATAAGTTCTGTTTGGCTGAACAGCATTATCTTCCTGAAACCATTCAGGAGAGTCATCTTCATAAGTCTTTCCCTCTGATGACTTTTTATAGGAAAGCCCATGCGCATGAAGAGAATATGGTCTAGATGCTAAATTTTTAAAATGAACCTAGCAAAAGGAATGATTCACAAATGTACTTAAGCTCAACAAAGACCCAAACCAAAAAAATGTCAGCATCATAGGCCAAAGTGGACAATTATGAAATCAGGCAGATCTAAGATATATTGAGTGCTTACAATTGCAAAGTAACTTATGTATATTATTTCATTTAATTTTCACAACCATTCTGAGAGATAGGTCCCAAGTGGTCTACTCCAGAAACAACAAAACATGCTTGTTCTTAGGCTCAAGGCTAAAGTACTGACATTATCTAAAAATGATATGATAGTGATTGGTGCTGGAGATTTGAAGACAAATGAGGTTTGGTCCTTGCTTTCAAGCTACCAGTGAAGAGAAACATGCATATGCAAATCCAAGCTACAAATCTGGAGGCAACAGGTGTTATAAACAAATTATGAATAGGTTTAGATGGGAATGCCCTAGAGGAGCAATTTGGGTGCATATTTAGGAGAGTTTGGAAGAATTAAGGTAAGTTTCTTGGGAGGAAATGGAATTGGCCCTTACATAATAAAGAGGACCTCAGCAGAGGGAGAAAGACATTTCAGGCTCCCAGAAGAGCAGAAACATGACTGTGAGGAGGGGAGTAAAGGAAAAGTCTGGGGGACAGCAAGGATCTGGGCGTGGCTGGGCTGTGGAATGCACGAGGCCAGGTGGGACCTGGTGAGAAACGAGGCTGGAAAAAGACCAGGTGGGGACCAGATGGTAGAAGACATTAAATGCCATGTGGGGAGTCTACATGTGCCCACACTGTCAGACTCATGGAGGAAGTTCCTCCTAGCCCTTCTCTTCTATAATTTCTAGTGATTAAAAACCCCCTCATCATAAGAAAGTAGACTATCGCCTCTCATTTCTTCATGGAACATTTAGAATAATCAAGAGCCTTATAACTCTACTCACCTATTTGCATTTTTTAAAAGAGCAAATGGTCTCTGAAAATTTAGCAAACACTTAAACGGCTATAAAAAATTGTGTTTGTGGATCTACAATAGTTTCCTTTGGGTTCAGTGCCCTTTCCTGTGTTTTTTGTAAGTGAAAGTTTAGAAAGGATGGAGGAAATAAACTTTGTTATAAAAGCCAGCTCTAGGCCTGGAACCAGACACAGGATTTTGAAAGAAATGACCAGGATTAGGAGCATACTTAGGAGACTTGCTCACTTTTGGAGGGCGTTGAGACGCCCTTACTAATTTACTTTGCTTACTAATTTTAACTTCACTTTCTTTTCTTTTAAGAGAACACCAGGAGATATTACTAAATTACACCTACTATTACCACTACTACTGCCACCACTGCTACTGTAATAAAACCTGATGGAATTGCTCCTGCATATATTAATTTTCTGTGTTAACTTTAGATGGGTTAGGTTTTGATAGAAATTACAATGTGATTTTCTCCAGATTATACAGTTTTTAGCATTTTAAAAAATTATGAGTTCTTTTTTTTTTTGCCTTGAAGATTGTCAAATTGCTTGGCAAGCAGTATTTGAAAAGAAATGTAATTCTCAATTATGGAAGAAAAATCACCTATAGTCCTCCTGCTACCTTCCTCTTTATAACCTTCTGGTGCTTGTTGAAATTNGACAGTAAGGGCAAATTGCATGTATTCTCCCCTTCCCAGAATTTTCTTTGCTCTTCTGACATTCGCTAATCATACAGAAAAGGAAACTTTCTTAGAGGCTCTGGATTTGAAAATTGTAAGTGAATAGTGTACTAAGCCTAGATATTTATGATCTAATTCTGTTGCATTCATATTCTCTTCCTCTGATTAATCCTTTGTCCCAGTATTGATGATGACAATAATAGTATTGACAATATAATGGGTACTATTTATCAAGCATCTACTACTGTATTAAATACTTTGCTTATAGTATCTCATTTAATCTTGACAGTTATTATATATGGTAAATATAAATTCATTCATTGAACAAATATTTACCAAGTGCCTCCTGTATGCTACATACTATTTTCTTATTTTTAACTTGAAACCTAAGTCAGAGAGAGGTCAAGTAATTTTCTTAAGATTACAAAGTAAGTGACAGTATAGGAATTTAAATCTGGTCTCTTTCCACTGTGCCTAAATGAAGGAGTCTTTTTTTTTAATTGACAGATAAAACTGTATGTATTTATCATGTAAGCATATTGTTTTGAAGTATCTATACATGTATAATGATAAATTGAGGAGATTTGACTTCGCAGTTTTTTCATAAAGAGAGCTAATACTTGTTCAAGAAAATTGCAAATAAACATCTTCCTCTGCAAACACTGGCACTATAACTTGGGCCAACCATTTAAGTAATCCTCCTTCCTCTCCACTGAATGTTTCTCTGTCATCTGAAGAATTGCTTGGAGAGTCCCTGGTTATGGTACCTGTAAACTGTGGATCACGACCCTTACACATTCCTCATGAAAAGCAAGACAGACATTTAACAAGAAATAACCCCAACCCTTCCATTTGGTGGACTCAAGTTATAAGGTTAGGAAATGACGAAAACTTTCAATGAAGTACCTACCGGGTTCACTGCTGAGTAGTAGGCCCAAGCCCGACAGGCAGATCCAGGGTTTTCTGGACCTGATTGCCCAGTGGCATACCACACATACGTATAAGTTCTGTTTGGCTGAACAGCATTATCTTCCTGAAACCATTCAGGAGAGTCATCTTCATAAGTCTTTCCCTCTGATGACTTTTTATAGGAAAGCCCATGCGCATGAAGAGAATATGGTCTAGATGCTAAATTTTTAAAATGAACCTAGCAAAAGGAATGATTCACAAATGTACTTAAGCTCAACAAAGACCCAAACCAAAAAAATGTCAGCATCATAGGCCAAAGTGGACAATTATGAAATCAGGCAGATCTAAGATATATTAAGTGCTTACAATTGCAAAGTAACTTATGTATATTATTTCATTTAATTTTCACAACCATTCTGAGAGATAGGTCCCAAGTGGTCTACTCCAGAAACAACAAAACATGCTTGTTCTTAGGCTCAAGGCTAAAGTACTGACATTATCTAAAAATGATATGATAGTGATTGGTGCTGGAGATTTGAAGACAAATGAGGTTTGGTCCTTGCTTTCAAGCTACCAGTGAAGAGAAACATGCATATGCAAATCCAAGCTACAAATCTGGAGGCAACAGGTGTTATAAACAAATTATGAATAGGTTTAGATGGGAATGCCCTAGAGGAGCAATTTGGGTGCATATTTAGGAGAGTTTGGAAGAATTAAGGTAAGTTTCTTGGGAGGAAATGGAATTGGCCCTTACATAATAAAGAGGACCTCAGCAGAGGGAGAAAGACATTTCAGGCTCCCAGAAGAGCAGAAACATGACTGTGAGGAGGGGAGTAAAGGAAAAGTCTGGGGGACAGCAAGGATCTGGGCGTGGCTGGGCTGTGGAATGCACGAGGCCAGGTGGGACCTGGTGAGAAACGAGGCTGGAAAAAGACCAGGTGGGGACCAGATGGTAGAAGACATTAAATGCCATGTGGGGAGTCTACATGTGCCCACACTGTCAGACTCATGGAGGAAGTTCCTCCTAGCCCTTCTC